GCCATGGAAAGTGTGGTCGCAAACATCCATTAATGGGTAAGCAGAAAAAGAAGAAGAAGAAGGTTCATTTTGAGACCCACTTTATTGCTAGCTGTATTTAGATCGTTAATTTGTGCTAGTGGTTCTTCAGGGCCATTGGCAATTAGAACTGTGCCGTCAACGAATCTCCAAATCTTTCTAGCTGTTCTTAAGTGGAACTCTTACAAACACACAACTTTAAAAACTCACAGAAAAGGATTTCAGAGGACAAAGTTATATATAAAGGATTTCACGGGACAAAACACTATAAAAAAACTGCATACCTGAGTCACGTCATACGTAACCATAAATACCAGTTTCTCCAGTTGATTATCGAGGGCAGAAGAGGTTTGGGACGGAAAAAGATGTCGTGGCTGCGGAATATAAGACAGTGGACAGGCATTAGTAACATACAGACGTTGATCCACACAGCCAGAGATAGGGAAGCCATGGAAAGTGTGGTCGCAAACATCCATTAATGGGTAAGCAGAAAAAGAAGAAGAAGAAGGTTCATTTTAAGACCCGCCTTATTGCTAGCTGTATTTAGATCGTTAATTTGTGCTAGTGGTTCTTCAGGGCCATTGGCAATTAGAACTGTGCCATCAACGAATCTCCAAATCTTTCCAGCTGTTCTTATGTGGAACTCTTACAGACACACAACTTTAAAAACTCACAGAAAATGATTTCACAGGACAAAACACTATAAAAAAAAGAAAACTGCATACCTGAGTCACGTCATACGTAACCATAAATACCAGTTTCTCCAGTTGATTATCGAGGGCAAGATCAAGGGCAGAAGAGGTTTGGGACGTAAAAAAATATCGTGGCTGCGGAACATAAGACAGTGGACAGGGATTAGTAACATACAGACGTAGATCCACACAGCCAGAGATAGGGAAGCCATGGAAAGTGTGGTCGCAAACATCCATTAATGGGTAAGCAGAAAAAGAAGAAGAAGAAGGTTCATTTTAAGACCCACCTTATTGCGAGCTGTATTTAGATCGTTAATTTGTGCTAGTGGTTCTTCAGGGCCATTGGCAATTAGAACTGTGCCATCAACGAATCTCCAAATCTCTCCAGCTGTTCTTATGTGAAACTCTTACAAACACGCAACTTTAAAAAAACACACAGAAAAGGATTTCACAGGACAAAGTTTCTGAACACATCAGGAAACTAATAGCTATAAAATTACCTATATAAATTTCCTTTAGCGCTATCTAGCGGCTATGTTCCATAATTAGCAGCCATTTCGACGTAATCTATTTCAAATTAAAGTAATTTTTCAGAAAGTTTTTTTGGCCGAAACGCAAAAAGGACCGCTTTATTAAATGAAGCTTTAATTTACGCCTAACCGAGACTAAAGGAGTATGTTACAGCACAATTTATTCTTTTTTTTGTAATGATTTTGCGTTTTTTTTATGAACTTTTTCCTGTTAAACTCATGCTGGATTTATAGAACACAGCGGTAATCATAATTACAATTTTAGTCATAGTCATAAGCACATTGACAATCATAATAATTATAATATGCGTTTATACAACATCATCGTAATCATAACTTTGAATGAAAATACAGTTGAGAAATAACCTAATTTTCTTATTTTTTTTTTATTTCATAATCATTTTAAAAATGGATTTTTGTTTAAATTTTACTTGTACCATCCTTTTCTCGAAGGTATTAGCGGCACTTTTAACCACCCTGTAACAATATTTTTTCCCATAGCGAGTTACGTTTTAAAAAATATTCAGAAATTACTATTTCAAGGAATTTATTACGAGTAGAAAAAATATTGTGCTGGGTTGGCGTTGGTTTCTATGTAATTTGACAAATAAATAAAGCTGTGTCTCTTTAGTTGTTAGTTTTGAGTCAACATTTTTTAATTCTCTTTCGTGTCGATTGCTGATTGAATTGGGGCCAGAAATGGCTCAAAACGAAATAAGTAAATTACCAACAGATATTCAGGCTGAGGCGAAAAGCGCCATATCCAAACTACTTCCATTTAAATCCCGAATAACTTATGAAAAGTAATACAAAAATTTTTAAAAATGGAAGCAATTAAAACTTGCGTGAAGAAAAGAGACGTGCGTGAAGAAATAATTTTTTAACCTATCCTCGCTGTTAAAGTATCATTTAATCTACCCTTGCGGTTAAAGTACTATTTTATCTTCTATTTTTGATAGATACCTATATGACAATTTTAGCAGTTACTATGGAAAAAAGTCTTTATTATACCCCAAAGCCATATTTAAAACCGTTTTTAATCGTACTTTACACCCCTTTCCCATAAAACACAACACATATCATCGCACGCTGTTCTTTGCATTATTTACTAACTTCCGCTTGTTTCGCGGCTAAAATGAAAGACACCGCTTCAAGGCTAAAAGTGAGAAGGTGGAGGAAAGAACTTAAAACAACGAAGGGTTAGACAGAGAGAGAGAATTCTCTCAAAACTTTTACAATTACGCCATCCAACTTTAGCAGTTAGCGCCAAAGCTGGTTGCGGCATTAGTAAGAAACCGAACTTTTCGGGGTGAGGAGGAGAAGAGGAGAGGTTTGCTCTCACTCACTTTACACAATGAGCTTGTAAAGTATATATTTTTGAGCGTTTTCTTTGGCCAGACAGGTTGTTTCGTCAGGGCTTTGTGTGCGAGGCCCTTTTTGGGGTTATTGTGGCACAGAAAGTTGGTATAGGGTTAATCTGAGTCGGTTTGAATTGTTTTTGGTTTGAAATCAGTCCATGAATTGCTAAATAATGTGGATTTTACATCTAAGCATAAATACAGATAAACTAAAGGTTCTAAAATATTTTATATTGCCTATACCAGGTACGTCTCAAAAGTGGCTCACCCCTAACTTCTTTATTTTTTCAGAATTGTTTTCATTCACACTTCCTGTTTTACCGGAAATGACTACAACTTTTGATTTTTAGATAGCACTCTTGGTTTTGCTGTTTTTTTACTTTATTCGATAGAAAATGACACTCTAAATAGAATGGCATATCATATACATATCAACTTTTGATATTTTCGCTTTAAAAAAATCGTATTATAAATCTCAATCTAGAGTGCCATGGCTGTGTTAAAAACATTGATTTTTATTCAAGGAGCCTTGGAAAAATAAATTTGATTGTCTAATGTTTTTCGTGTTTTGTCCTGGCCCGTTAAAAGATGCACAAGTCGTATTTTTAATCATATCTCAGTTTTTTCAAATGGAACAAGGGTGGCTCATTACCATATTTGGAAAATGCTTTTTTTTACGAATAAATTGGTACCACACACTTGGTATTTCGAGTCAAATTATCATTATGAACCGCATGTTATAATTTCAAATAATCCATATGAGAAAATGTCAAAAGTTGACATATGATATGTCATTCTATTCAAAGTGCCATTTTCTATCGAATAAGGTAAAACAAATACCGAGGGTGCCATGTAAAAATTAAAAGTTGTAGTCATTTCCGGTGAAACAGGAAGTGGCTAAAAACAAATGAATACTTCAATCAATCCCAATTTATGTCATATACTAACATAACAAATCTCGTTTTTTATCGAAAAAAATAAAAAAGTTGTAGGGGTGAGACACTGTTTGTTGACATTTATTTACTGCATTTCCGACTCTCACTGTAACATATACACTATATTTTGAAGGAAAAGAATGAAGAAAGTAATATGAAAATCAATGCCATCCATTTTTCGAGTTTATTTACCTAAATATTTCAGAATGCTTCTGAAAATATACTACTGCGATAAAACACTATATTTGGAATATATTCACTTTTACGGCATATCTATACGACTCCGTAATACCACTTCGATTTTATATTGAAATAAGAGGATCCAATGTTTCTTCGTTTTATTTTTGACTACAATTTCAAAATACATTGTCACGAAAAGGGTAGATTTTCATAAGAACATTCGATATTTTAATTCAATGTTGAAAACTTTTTTTTACCAAACCTCATTTATCAATATAATAATTAATACCCATGGAATATTGACATTTTAGATTTTTTTTAAAGCAGCAAATGGTCCAAATGTACAAAATGCATTTTCTGAAGAGATAGGTAAAATGGTATGACAATTTGACAATTAACTGTGCATCTGATTCTCGTAAAATATAGAGGGCAATATACAATAAACAAGTTATTGTCGTTTAAAGCTAGTACTTATTTAATATAAATTTTTAGACACAATATCCTAACACAATATCTGATCAATAAATAAATTTCAGTAAATATTTATCATTAAAAACTTTTATACCCTTGGAGAAATGAAGCCTTAAAATTTTTACTATAATTTAACAAAATTAAATACGAGTATATTTAAAAAACGATAAGGTTTAAGTGTGATAAACCTGAATCAAATTTACTTTATTTCAATCGTAGAACCTAAAAATGTAATAATGTACAGAGTGTTCCATTTAAAAAATGCAACTATAATATTTTTTATTTATTTCGGACACTCTGTATCTTGTAAAAATATATTTAAATTGTAGCTCTAATAGTCCTTCAACGAACTCACAACAAAATATAATCGTTTAGCTACAATACTCTGTGTAGAAACTATGCCATATTTAACAAAACTCATTAAACTCATAATTATTCTCCTTGAATATTGTTAAAAAAACTGTCACAATAATGAAAGAAACTAATCCAAATATTTTTTCGTCTAAAAACTTTTTAATTCAAGCTCGAAACGATTTTTTAATAATCCTTCTTGCGAGGGAAAAATAACGACGAAAAAAACCTCCGTCCTTTGAATGGGTGGAAAACGCCAAATGAAAATAGTTGTTTTTCTTCAAATTACTTTTTTAATTAAGATCGCAAAGGCGAAAAATAGCGAGGCCCGCCTCGAAAAACTGGAAAACTGTTCGTGACATCTCTATATTTCCGCCTTGTTTTCGACTGTTCCGCGGAAAATGTTGCAGGCAAATTAGTTTATTACTTGGATTTAAGTGACGTTTCGGTTTTCTTCTGTTGCAGAGAGACGCCCTCAATTTGGAGCCGGGAAATGTGGCCAGTTGCGTCTCCAAAGGGAAAACAGAGGTAAGTTGATTTTTAATAAAAATAGTTTCTATTTTTTTTTGGTAGGTAATTCAAATTTACTGACTTGAATTGAAAGAAAAACTAATTGAGTGTAAAAGTGGCCTTTTTATGTGTATATATATATAATATCTACTCATTTAAGCTGTGGAAATTTTTACTTTCATTATATAATTAGAGGGTGGCACCTCTCATATGCCGCAGAGGCTCCAAGGAGCATGACAGCTTGTATTGAAATGAAATTTTGCGAGCATATTATGTAGATTCATTTAAAGCAGTATTTAAAAATATAGAGTTTTTTACAGGGTGTCTAAACAAAAGTTCCACATTGCATTTTTTGTAATGGATCACCCTATATATCAATTGATTTTCAGATTCTAGCTGAAAAAATAATGGTGAGTTTCATTAGAGAAGTATATGACTAAAATGTAAGTTTTTTGATTGTACAATTGATATTTAACGTTTTCTAAAAATCAAGAACACATTTTAAATTTCAATAAAACGTACCTAAATTGGAATTTAGCTGGTATATTGTAATGCTGGTAATATGTAATTAAAATAACTATTGTTTGTCAAATCAAACTAAAAATTGACGCAAAAAGGTATACAGAGTAATACAAAATTAATATTGAACATAGGTCGCCTTTAAAAGCAAATTACTTTTTTATTTTAAATGGAACACTCAATATATTATTGCGATATTCAACGGAGAATTCATTAGGGTTACCTACCCCTTAAACAATGATTTTCATAGATATTTTCATTTTTATGATTTAGTGTCAGTAGATATTTATTATTTGATAAAATCTAAGTGGCTGTGAGATACGTGATGTTACTTCAACATAGCTGTCAAATTAGTTCGCTTTTAACAACTATTTATCATTCTGTATCAGTTAAAATAAAAAATATTATCAGAAATTTGTCGAAAATGGAAACTTATCCTACATCAGAGAGAATTGATATGATTCTATTAATTAGTGATTCACCAATTAATAGAATGCTTAAATGCCCTTGATTTATCTAGTTTGGACATTTTTAGCCGAGCATACCAATAGGTATGGTAGGCTCGAGGGGTGTCTCACTCGGTTAAAAAATGTACACGTACTGCCAAAATATCCTTCCACTGCTAAGCGACTGCCAATGACTATGAAGAAGACTGCCTATGACTGTCATGTAATTATTATAGGCGACTGCCATAAGACTGCCAATAACTGCCAGCGACTGCCAAGAAAATGTACATGTAATTCCAATAGTTAGACACTCCTCGGGTAGGCTATTAGGATCGGCAAAAAAAAAGTTTTTTTAATTTCACTCAAAATGAGTTATTTGGGTCATAAATGACCTAAATACAAAATATTTTCATGGTGTCTGTCTGTCCGTCTGTCCGTCTGTCCGTCTGTCCGTGTGTAACACGATAACTCAAAAACCGCTGAACCGATTTTAACCAAATTTGTTACAAAAATACTGTGGCACCCGAGAATCTGGCCATTAGTTTTTGGTGGGGGTGGGGGGTTGGTAAGGGGGTATGGGAAGGGGTTAAAAATTTTAAAAAATCGTAACTCCAAAATTACAGTAGCTAACGAAACGCGGTTTTCAAATTAAGATTAGGAATAATGTTTGCAACAAAATTTGTAATAACATCAAAATCAGTCAAAGTCGCAGTTTTCGAGATATTAACATATTTTAGTATGGGCGGCTATACGTTTCTCCCGGCGCCAATTTTTTTTTATTGAGATATGTTAAAGACAGTCAGTATTTAAAAAACTCGATCAATTATTTTCGACAACATGAGAGAAATGATTGTCGCTGCTTTTCGAACTACAACTCCAGAATAAATTAAAATAAAAAGATTTTTAGAAAAAAGAATCATTTTATGCAGTGAAGAGAAAAGGAAGCATTTTGAGCATTTGATTTCATCTAGCTAATTTTTGTCACATAATTATACGTTTATAACTATTTTTAATTCTGTAAAAACTAAAATATGTTTTATCTTAAAAATATTTTTATTACCGTTGAATATTTTACTCTACATCTTTTAATTTTTGTTAAATTAACGAAAGGTATATGACAGCCACCTAGATTTTATCAGTTAATAAAATCTACTGATACTACTGATGGAAAATCATAAAAATCAAAATATCTAGAAAAATTTTTGTTGAAGGGGTAGGCAACCTTAATAGTATTTTGAAGATATATGAATTCTCCATTGAATATCGGAATAATATACTGGGTGTTCCATTTAAAGTAAAGGAGTTACTTGCTTTTACAAGTGGCCATTGTTCAATATTAATTTTGTCTCACTCTGTATAACTCTTCGCGTCAAATTTCAATTTGGTTTGACATACAATGGCTACTTTAATTAAATATTGGGCTACATCTGCAGGATAAATTACAATCTAGATAGCTGTTATTGAAATTTAAAATGTATTCTTCATTTTCACAAAATATGAAATAAGTCGAAAACCTTACATATTAGGAATATACCTCTTTAATAAAACTTATCTTTATTTTTTTCCTAGAATCCAAAAATCAATTAATATATAGGGTGTTCTATTACAAAAAAACAACTTTGATACGTAACTTTTTTGGGGACACCCTGTACAGCTTTCTATATTTTTAAATAAATGCTCTAAATTAATCTACATCTGCTCCCAAAATTTCATTTCGATATAAATTACCGTTCTCCTAGGAGCATCCGAGTCGTATGAGAGGCGCACCCTGTATTTCGGGTCTCTCTTAAAAACAAAAAGACAAATCATTAGAAATATATCTACATATTTCATGCTCTAAGGTCGATAAAGATTTATCTTCTACGATTCCCTATGAAATCGATCCCGATAAGTACTCCACCGCCGCCTTAATCTGACGAAAATAGGTCTGAAGGTGGTGTATTAAAACAGGTGAAACGTTCGTCGGGCTGGATTTGACGTTGCCCCGGAGTAGTGACGTAAACCGGATTAATCCGGGGTAAAATTAAACGTCACGGGTCGTTTCTCGGGTCGGAGTAGTAGCGGAAGGCGCGGATTTCGTAATTGCAATCATAACTTTGGCTCGATAATGCGTGTAATGGGTAGAGAAGGCTGAAAAGGAAGATTTCCAAGGGCTGGTGTCTGTTATGTAAATTATTTAGGGTAGGAAATTAAGTTACATCATCTGGAGACGATATAAAATTGAAAGAAAAGTTAATCGAGTGTGAAATTAGTCTTTTTATGTTTATATCTAAGCATTTAGGCTGTCGAAAATTTTATGATTTGTTATATTTCGGATTTGTCTTAAAAACAAAAAAGAAAATCATATTTTCCACTTTCTAAGAGGCACATTCTTCCTTCTCTGAGTGTAATTTTTAGTGTATTACAATACAATAAATACAACTGGAATACCAACCGGGAAATTAGATATACATTATATGAAAAAATCTATATACGGAGTGTTTAAAAAAATATGTGCCATTTTTCGTGGAGTGCATTATAATTTTCAGCAATCGTGTAATTTTTTTATTTATAAAGATTTTCACATACTGTCTGCGAAGAAAACATAGCAGAAATATTAAGAAAGTTTTTGAAAAAAAACTACAATCAATTATTTTTAATGAATTCGAGTTCTAATAGCGCGACCACTGTCGAACACCAACTCAATTCCACTTATTTTTACCAAAAGTGTTTCTAACTTGCACTTAAAAAATTACAAGCTATAGTGAAAATTACAACGACGCATTAATAAATAAACAAATAAAGTATCACGAGACGTAAGAACGTAAGACGTAGACGTGAAGCTGAACGCATGATGTAAACTATTCCCTAGAATTTTAAGTACTGACATGGTACTGATTGAGTCGACCGCAATGAATCTGCTATATCCCCTTCCACGTCTCTTAGCAATGTGCACCGTTTCTCGGTTTATTTCATACGTTTGGCAACGTTTTTACTGTTCTCTCTTTGTTCAGTACATTATAAACGCTTTGTACTCTTCCTACATACGGAAATCTCGACCCAAGACTAACCTGTGCCAGCCCTTAGTATATGTATATACTTGGTCAGCATCTATCAATTATAATCGCAAAAATTTAGATTTACAGCAAAATAACGAAGATACAGACTAAAAAACCCAGTATCTTAAATCTGATCGGTATAACAAAGCAACTTTTACTCTTAATTTCTCACAAAAATATTTTTATCATATACTGTGTTTTTCCTTCATCTAGCAGCGATTCTGCAAACTTGATAATAATTTCCAGCAATTTCTCTTTAGTCATAATTTTCTTTTCGGAGGCTCTACCTACGGCTAATACTTTCCAACGCACAGCCGAGAGCTGTTGTTAATGCAAAGTGTATTTTATATTATTTGGCTGAGAAAATAATCCAAACCCGAAACTGATAATTTTTTATAGGTACCGACAAATCATCTCGGTGTAGGTTGACCTTTAGCGCCATCGCACACCTCGCCCTTAAACTTTGAAATACAAAAACACCACGAAACTTCCGCTGCCGCCGCTGCTGCAGCCTGCAAATCTAATTTAATCTGGAACATTATATGAGCCGGATCTGGAAAGAGAAGAACTCCAAGGTTCCATTATAAATTTTCTGGGAGCCAGGCAAGAGGAGGATGAGATATGGGGAAAAGAGACGACGTGACTATTTTACGTACTGCCTATTTTATATTCCGAATAACTTTGGCAACGATGTATGCCGCTTGTCGTTGCTTCGGACCGAACCCAACGATACAGGGTGTTACGAGTACAAATTTAAAGTACGAAGGAAAATACAGTGACCGTCTCATATTAAGATACTCTCTTTGTAGTTAAGTCCATTGTTGTCTATTGTTGGCTATGCAGGCCCAAGTTATCTCTGCTAATTTCCTAATATCCTCTAAGACTGTTAATTCCTCTTGGGTGCCATGCTGTAATTTTTGTGGTCCATCTGTTGTCCGTCCTTCTTGCCCGGTGTCCTGTCTATTGCCACTTGAAGGATTTGATTCTGTAGATGACATCTATTACCCGGGTCTTT